TCATACCGTGTCCACTGGTACAGGCAGTGTGTTGTCCATCCCCACTCTTGTAGGTACGTTAAGGTGGCGGCCATAGGCCCCTTAACATGGTACCATGGATGCTGTTGTTTGTTGAGCTTGTTGCGGAGTTGGATCCAGGCTGATTCAATGTGCGGTCGATGGTCCTGGGGCCAATGGTGCACAAGTTGATGCATGGATGTGCTGGATGACGATCTGATCCCCTGCTGCTGTGTTGGTCATAGATCACATCAGGCTGTCCACCTTGGTGCAGCCCAAGGTGTGTGGCCAGAGCGTGTCCGAGGCCTTGTCGGTACCTAGGCGCAAGTCCTTGGCCTTCAAACCCCCACATTGCAACGGGTTGTACTCCGCCTCGGTGGAGCCTGAGCCTGTTCTTGAGGTTTGGTAGTTTGAGAGATCTGAGTTTGATGCGGCGCTGCTTGTTCTTGTTGAAACGCTGCTTCAAGGTTGCTATGCGCCGTCTCCTCCCTGCCGAGTGGTCTATGCCCAGGTCTCTCATGACTGTTTGTATGGGCGGGTCATCTGAAACCAGCAGCTTTGCTAGTGCAAGCTGTGTCGTTTTGTCGGTGACAATGAAGGCGGTCTTGCTGTTGTTGACCCTGAGCCCTGCAGCTTTGAGCTGGTCCCGCAACTCGTGCCAAGCTGTGACCACATTGGTGGCTAGGATGTCTGCATCTTTGTGGCTCCCATCAAACCCGATGTTGTCGACCCAGCCATTGAGTGTCAGATCTGAGTGGCTTGCTTGGAAGGGCGCCAGGCGCCTGGGGACAACCTGCCGCCACCCCAGTGGTGCTGTGGAACCATGTGCTGAGTTCAGCTTCAGCCAGGACTGCCTTGGGTCCCGTGTAGACCTGCGTGGCAAAAAGGTGGGTAGTTCAGGTTGATGGCTGTTTCCTGCAGTCGTTTGAGGTCAATGGTGTCATAGCATGTCCAAGAGTACCGTGATCCCATGGATGTCCAGAGCTTTGTTGCTTTCTTGCCGTAGGAGTCGTTCAAGTGCCACATGGAGGGCAGTGGCGCCCTGTCTGGCTCTGTCGTAGTCCATCTCCTTCGGCAGGGATTTTTGCCACTCATCCACTAGCCCTTTCCTCAAACGGCACCACGTCCGGTACAGGACGCTGGTGTGCGTAATTGGTCTCTCCACTTTTTCATTTTGCCAACATCACGATGGGAGTTCTGCTTTGGCCTCCATGTCCTGAAGGAGCTTGAGCAAGCTGGTCAGGGCCTGCTTGGGCGCCGTGCGTGGGAGCTGGGTGGTGATGGCATCCGGTCCGCAGGCTCGATCTGGGAGCTTTTTGAGTGTCTTACCCAGATGACCGAAGGTCAATGGTGGGAGTGTGGCCGCATGGTCTTTGGCTTCTTGTAGGATGGACGGTCGGCGCATGACCTGGTTGTCCTCCGTGGGCCGCCATAATTCTTGCCATGTGTGTAGTCGATGTCTCATGCGATCTGCCACTGGGATGTCTCTGTACGGCCTTTGCCATGACAGTTCACTGGCTTTTAAGGACCGGAAAAGCCCTTTGAGGCCTTTCGCTTCCCCTTGTCGGATCCATTCTGTGTACTGGAGGTGTGTTTCATCACGACTCTGTGCCTGTGCAGCTTCGAGTTGGTGTTGTATGGTATGCGTCATCAGCTCCAGGGTCCGTGGGTCCTTGTGTTGTTGCCAGTGTTGGCTGGTGTCCAGGAATTGCGCCCAGGTTGGGTCTCCGGTCCAATGTTGTGGTGCATCTTGGATAGCCGGATAGCCTCTGGTGGCTCCTTTGGCTTGGTTGGGCTGGCGCTGAATGATGTTGAGCCGTGCTTGCCATTGTTCCCAGTATGCTGGATTGCCATTTTTCCATAGACCACCGGACTTGGTAGGTACAAGTGGTTGGTGCTGGACTGCAAGATTTGCAGCTCTGCCTTGTGGTGCCCATGGATGTTGTTGGAGGAGATATTGTCTCCTGCATTGGGCTCAGTGTCGTAGAGCTGGATGTCTTCAACTTGTGAGACATAGGCCATAGGTGCTCCATGCTCGAAACCCAATGTCCGGCACATTGGGCAGTGGAGGAAAGCTGCGAAGCTGGTGGTACTTCCTGAAGTCCTCGTCGAGCTCGAAGGCATAGGTGAGCAGGCAGCAAGTGGGGCCAGGTTTTGGTGCATGATGGCATAGTCCAGCGTGTTCCCATTGAGCAAGGTGGCATCTGGAGCCAGGATTTGCCAGTGGAACTTGGAGCTGAGTACGGTTGCTTGTCTGTTGGTGGCATCGATGAGCGCCAGGATCCTCGCCAGTAGTTTGGAATTGGTGGGTCCTTGCAAATTCTCATTGGTCTTGAAATAGACTGCAATGACAAGGAGGGATCTTGCTTTGGCTTCCCAGAGAAAGGCTTGGTAACCACATCCTTCGATGTCGAAGTTCTCAACCTTGGAGAGCCCATGTGCTGTGTCATAAAGGATCAGGATGCCTCCGTGGTTTCCTTCGTTGTTCGGATTGTTGTGGGCTGGATAGCCGAAAGCATGGCGCCCCCTCACCTCGAAGTACTGACACATGGAGTGGTGTTTTTGGCTGTCGAGATGAGTTTCAACGAAGACATACAGTTCATTGTCCCGACTCCAGTACCAATCAAGTGTGCGCCGTCCGAAAGAGGTGATGTTGGCAACATGCAATCTCATTTTGTCCTGGGTGAACTTTGCCTTCTTCGGAGGTGTTCCATGAAGAGGTGGGTCGTAATCTGGAGTCTCAGGAGCCGGCAACGCTCGTGCTATTTGGCGTGGTGTCACCAGTGCAGATGTCTGGATGCACCAGACCGGCACTATTTGCCCAGGCAGTTGTGGAGTCAGGAAAGGTAGAACTTTTGGGTTGCCACCATCATCTGCAATCCACATGAGGTCTTTGTAGACGAGGATCGTGAAATATGTAGGCGATGGGAATGTACTCCGCACTGGCTCCGGAGTAGCCGTCCAAAGACCTTGGAACAGTACAGGGGCCGTGAGGATTGAGAGCTCTTTTGTGCTTGGTGACTGTGCCTTCGTAACTGCCCGATTGATGTGGTTGACCATCACCATTTTGTCATCTCCCAAGTATTGCCCATATCCATGGTTATCTCATCGAGGTACTCATCAGGGTAGTCGATGACGATAGGCAGCTGGATGTGTTCAGTGACGTAGCCCCCATCTTTGATTTCTGAGAATCTGTACTGCATGACCCGTGTTTGTGAGTGGATGAGTGGATCCAAAGGGAGTTGACGAAATGTGCAGCATCACCTTCAGTGTTTAAGTCATGCTTGTGCCACAAGTCTTGTAACCCTGGGAGTTTCTTGATGTCCACCGGCTCACTGAGTTCCAGTGAGGTTTGAACCGCTTCCTTCAGAGTGCCCCAAGGTTCCCTGTTGAATTCTGCTAAGTATGCGCACATCCAGCAGAAGGCCCTCCAGGGTGCATTGGCATAGCATCTTGTGCTAGGATTCCCCACCACAATACATAGGTTCTGCATCAGAAGGTCCGTGGTGGAGGCATAGACATTTGTGCTCATGGCTTGATTCGTCTCCCAAGTTTCAATGGAGGCAGTGTGCCCTCCGCTTGCACCTCCAGTGAGCTTGATGCAGCTATGTCCAGTGACCGCCGCGTGAAGGTTGTCAAACTTGTATCCAACAGAATTGGAATAGGCTGGCTGGACATTGGGTTGTCCTTCTGGTTGCATGTCCCCTGCAACTTGCTTTTCCCCAAAAGTGGCAACTGTGTTGGTTGCTGTGCAAAATGGTTCATTGGGATCATGTGTCATAGCCCCTGCACATGTTGAACCTGTCCCCGGTCCTGCATCTGAGCCTGGAGCAGCGCGGCAAACCCATTTTGGTGGTGCTGCCAAGGCTGGTGATGCATCTTCAAAAGAAATCCCCTGTTCTTCAGAAAGCAAAACTATTGGACTTGAACTGTCAGGCCATGACATCATGTCATCGTCCGGGACAGGTATGGTCCACCCCTGATGCTCATCGTAGGAACTGTTACCCGCAATGTCCGGGATGTGCCGCCGGGGTTGTCTCGGTTTTGCGTCTCTTGATGGCATCCTCGCTGTCTTGGCTGGGTCGCTTGAGAAGCCCACGCAACTGAGCTTTTTGTTCCTCAGTCAACGAGATGCCTAAGCTGTGCACAAAAGATTTAACTGCCATGGGAATCTGCTCGGTTTCACCGGCCGGTTCTGTGAGCTCAGCTGGCGTAGGTGTTTGATTCACCGCCTTCATGTAGTCTTCAGACAGCTGGTGGAGTGACTTTTGCCCTTCTGACAGCTTACTCTGTAGCTCTTGCATGTCATTGAGAAGTGAGGTGTATTGGGACTTCACTGCATCGATTTTGGCCTGCAGCTGTGTTTTGCGTATTGACATGTTCTTGAGGCCAGTCACTTGACCCTTGAGTCTTGCTGCAATCTCTCGTTCGGTAATTGGCTCAACCTTGGTCAGCTTGAATACGACCTCCTGTACCTGTTGAGGGAGTGCATCGAGATGAGTTTTGAGCAAGTCCTTCAACTCTGGTTCTTCTGGCTTGGTAGGTCCAATCCCCAGTGCCTGCAATTTGGTTTGCGTCTCTTGTGGCAGAGTGGTCCAGCTGGTTGACAAGAGCTCGGTTGCCTCTTGTTGTACTTTCGCGCGTTTCAAGGGCTTGATCTTTGAGAGCCCTGGCGGTGCTTCAAGCCATTGCTGGTTGGCTATGGTCTTGTTGTGAGGTCGTCCATAACCCTTGCCCTTTCCATTGTGGTAGGCGGGCTCTGGCCACCAAGTGCCGCACTTCCGACACTTTGTACCGCTGCGGACCTTGTCGTTCCAGATCCAGTTTCCACATGTGCCTTTTTGGCACACCATGTAGCTTCTTCCCCATGTATGTATGTATGTATGCATGCATGTATACATGCATCATACTATACATTATTATACCTATTTCATCGTATTTTATTATCACAAAAAACATGAACCCTCCGGAAACCTCAGCCAGCCATCAGTATTTTTGTGAATTCGGGGGCGCCTAAAGCGCTTCTGTAACTGATGGGAAGTATATAGGAGTGACTAGCTGACTAGCTTGCTACTCAGTACTCGTGATTCGTGATGTGCTCTTTTTGTTTCTCCTCCTCCTTCAAGCAGGGGCCCCTTCTGCAAACATGTCTTCCACCCACACCTCCAAACAGTAGCACTTCCTAATAATTATATACTTCCTTACTACCTGAGTGTGCCTGTGGCCCGTGTTGTAAGGTCTTGCATGACTTTGCTGATGCACCTGTTTAATGGGCGAAGTGAACCCCAAAACACTCTGACTCTGGCCCTCAAGACGTTTGCTACATGTCAATTGGTAGCTGGTAGGTCTTGAGTCCCTTGATGTGTTCGCTGCGACATTGACAAGCGCTATCTCGACCTTTTCCCCTACGCATTCATCTGCTCAAGCCGTTCGAGGCCTCACAAATTCATCTGCAGCTTCTCCTCTCTCGTCTTCTCTCTGAACACACACGCACTCCCTCTCTCTCTCTCTATCTTTCTTTCCGCTCCTTTCTGTCTTTCCCCTATCTCTTTCCACCCCTTGGCCCGCGGACGTTGCCAAAGATCCGCGTCTGTGGCCCAGCTCCCAGGTGGCCGCACAGGTGAGTGTGCGCCTCAAAGGAGCGCAGCGCCATGGCCACTTCGAATCCGAAACGTGTTGGCCAAAGGCGTTGCCTTCTCGATTTCGCAAACTCAAGAACATTGGATCCGAATGTTGCTTTTTGTTCTCCTCGGTCGCTCAGCGCGACAGCACCCCCCCTCCTCCCTCATCCTTGCACTTTATCGGCTCAACTTGCACCCTTGCACCCGCACCGCCACCAACAAATGCAACTCAAACCATGCAACTCATATCATCTCAAAACATTTGTGGGCATCACCACTCATCAGGGTGAATGTGCAGCATTGTTGTGCTGGGAGTGTAGTTCTGCTGGCCCGCTTTGTTCTACGTGGCCTGGAGGACGTCAAACATCGTCAAACATTACCACCGCAACCCTGCGCCCCCCGTTCTAATAATGGGTAATATTCCTTGGAAACCTTGATGCGCCTCTAAACTCTAAACAGTATGGGGTTTACAAGGTGGGTGACGGGGAATTATGCGCAGGGGCCCCATAGTGACCGAACAAAGTCTCGACAGGTTCATGAGTGCAATGCTATGCGAAGCAAGGGCGAGTCCGAAAGCTTACGAAGCAAGCGGCTTCTTGATTGGCCCTGAAGCCAATCAATGGCGCTGTACACGCAGGTGCCGCAGGAGTGAGACATCATGACAATCTATCTCTTTCTCTCCCTGGCCATCTGATTACCCCAACTCGTCTTTTTGGAAACACAGGACTCAACCCAACAGGAGAGTCAACTAAGACAGGTGAACAAATGCCATACGACCCAATCACTAAACCAACGAATTACTGCAAACACAACAACACTATGCAAATGGTCCAGAGTGGACACCGCCTAGAACAACTACAAACATGTCTACATGACTACTTACTTGCACACGCCATGCAGCGCTACTGACTGTACTGGGTTTGCAACTGCCCAGGCGGATTCTACGGTGCAAGTGCCTACCAAAACAGCGGGCTGCAAGGGGGCCAGTCATTCTGCATGTCGGCCTTGGGAGCTTAAAGGACCTTAAATCTGTTTGTCGGGCCCTATGTATGTGACAAACGCATGGCTTGGCATATCTCCATCATCTTCACAGACTCGCAGTTGGCAAAAAGCAGCCCTTCCACGTTCATCTATCGGGAGAGTGTGGTGTGGCAGGCGCAGCATTTTGCGGATCTTAATGACCAAGAGTGGTTTGGCTCCGGTTGGCCCCTGTGAACCCGGCCGGCACTCAAACACCTATGGACATCCAATTGTAACTGAGAACGCTGTTCGGCTTTTCCCCCTTTTCTCACCCCTGATCTGTCGCTGAACTCAATTGGTAGAATTATGCAGAAACATTCGCCACTATTTGTGCTCCAGTCAGTGGCCAACCGTGTCTGTGCCTTTTGGAAAAACCAGTTCCCACTTGCGATCCCCACTCTTTTCCGTTCAACGGGTAAATGCAAATGTTGCTTCTTTTGACCGCGCCTGCCCGTCCACGGGCTCGTTCTCTTTCTTCAGCTTCTCTTCTTTCCCAAGCAGCCCGAGCACGTTCTCGTTCTTCAGCTCTTTTCCGAGCGCGTTCCCTTTCTTCTGCTTCTCTTCTTCTTTCTTCTGCTTCTCTTCTCCTTTCTTCGGCTTCTCTTCTTTCATGAGCAGCCCGAGCACGTTCTCCTTCTTCAGCTCTTTTCCGAGCGCGTTCCCTTTCTTCTGCTGCTCTTCTTTCCCGAGCTCTTTCTCCTTCTTGAGCTTCTCTTCTTTCCCGAGTTCTTCTTTCTTCGGCTTCTCTTCTTTCCTGAGCTCTGTCTCTTTCTTCGGGTTCTTTTTCCTGAGCTCGTTCTCTTTCTTCAGCTTCTCTTCTGTCCCGAGCTCTTTCTCTTTCTTGCGGTTCTCTTCTGTCCCGGGCTCGATCTCTTTCTTCAACTTCTCTTCTTTCCCGAGCTCTGTCTCTTTCTTCCATTCCCCTCTCCCGAACCCTTTCCCTATCTCTACCTTGTCTTCGTTCTCTTTCTCTGCTGTCTCTTCTACGAGACCTCTCTCTGAATTCTCTCCTTTCTCTGCGGCTTCGTGAGTCTGAGAGTCTGTCCCTCCTCTCCCTGGCATCGTGGCAGTATCCCAAAACTTGTGGTGTATTGTTACATGCAAAACTTCTCAAAGCCCGACGGCTCCTTGTTCGGCTTCTAGACCTCAATGTAAGCCTGTCACTGGCCAAACACAAGTTCCAAAGTTCCAAAGCCGTCTTCATGTCTCCACGCCTCGAGGAGACCTGTCAGTGCCAATCCGAAATGGCTCTTTAAACATGAAGGAGCATCGCTCATCTGTTTGGACCAACCTCTCCCAGGAAGGGCACGTGGAGAGGGCTACCTCTGGAGCACCAAAACCTGAGGAGGCTTCAGCGGACCAGATCTATATTCAACAGGTCAACAAAATGCCTTTGCTGATTAAAACATCTTCCAAGTGGCTGCTTGCAAGCGGCCAGGCGTGGACCTCGGCACTTGGCTGGACACTGATGGCCTCTATTCGGCTCCTGCGTACAAGCCACATGCTCGGTAGTTCTTCTCCAAGTCCTTCAGGAGTTCTCCTGTGAAATCTCCATTAGCTTCCAAGCCAAGTCCGAAACGGATCCCAATTAGCGGCTAAGCGGCGGACTTTTATGGATTTGGAGGCGCCTACAACCCCCCTAAGCGCAACTGAACTGTGCAATTCTTGGCATGAGAAATCTCCGAAACCTGGCACTTGCAAAATTCAGTCTCACTGAACCCTCGGCCAAAAGAACACGATTCAAATCACAAAAAAGGTACATAAAGCTCATCAAACATCGTAAAACCAAGCCCATCAATGCACAAGTTTAGGCACAAATTTATTCGGTGCTTGTGCTAATTTGCGCTCTTGTCTTGCACGCTAGCCGCTAGCCCACACCTGGAGCCTTGAAGCTGTTGTGCTCCACCCGGAGCCACAACCTGCAATTCGCACAACAGTGCAGTCAGCGGTGTCCAAAGCAGTTTCCTTCGGCCCGTGCGGCTCGGCCCGAGAGGAACGGGCCACCTGGCAGGTAAACACAGCAATTGAGTTGGAAAAATTGGACAGCTCTGGGATCCAATAGGAACGCCCAAACAAGCGCAAAGCACGCACTCTGCTAGCTTCAGCCTTGGCAAAAACCGTTCAGGTTTACAGGTGAGGATCAAAACTAAAACGCGCTTGACGCCACAAACGCCACAAAACATGAATTAAAAAGAGATATCAAACACAATCAAAGAAACATATGTCTGTTTCCGTTTTCAAGCTCCAAACACCCCATGGTGAGACCTACAGACAACCACACATAATTGCAAACGTTTCAGGTTTTGAGGCGTTCGTAGCCTCTCGTTTCTCGCTTTCGTTGGCATTTTTCTTGGGCCGCTGCAGGTTGTTGTGAGACCTGAGCAGCACACTGGCACAACAAAAGCAAGGAGAACCAATGACACATAGAAATGAGAGGAAGCAAACAAAAAACACAAGGACTTGGGAACTTGGGGGGCCACAAGTGTACCTCGCGGAGGTTCCTGCAACTCTTCAACCTCAGGTTGGATGTTCCCAAGCAAAGCCTTGCAGCCTCGTGACCATGCAGCGCTCTTTGCTGTACCCGAAAGCTCGAAGCTCATGCTACTTTGGTCAGAACTAGCCCTACCTAATCGCTGAGCCAAGTCCAGCCAAGGGGTCCACTAGAGCCAATAGGGCAATTTGAGCATAGTACTTCCTGTGCTGAACGCAGAGGCAGAAAAATGGAAGCATAAGGCAGTGAACCACAGCACCCGACCAAGTTCCACGAAGCAATGATTGGCTCAAGCAAGACTTAGCAATGACTGGAGCCTTTTGAGAAAAATAAGATCAGGAAAATTCAGGAAACCACACAAGTCTTGACCCACTCCGAGCCCCAAACAATTCTGGAAGATCGCGTGGGTGTCGCATCATCTCTTACATTCTCTTACCAATGTCCCCAGAATGCATCTCGAACGAACTTTATTGCCTGCACACCCTCAAAATTACTTGACTTCGAGTGACCCCCACCATGACATTTCAAAACAACCACGTATTTCAGCCCATAGCACGAGTCCTTCAGCGCCTAGTAGAGTAGTAGTAGTAGTAGTTGTAGTAGTGGTAGTAGTAGTAGTAGCAGTAGTAGTAGTAGTAGGAGCAGCAGCAGCAGTAGTGGTAGTAGTAGTAGTAGTAGTCGTAGTAGTAGTAGTAGTAGTACTGGTAGTAGTAGTGGTAGTAGTAGTGGTAGTATTGCGGTGGTAGTAGCACTAGTAGTGCGCAGTTCGGGGGCCGAGCTTCGCGGCCCGAAACTTGGAAGCTTCCGGGGCCGGAGTAGTAGTAGGAGTAGTAGTAGTAGTCGTCGTAGTAGTACTAGTGGCAGTAGTAGTAGCAGTAGAAGTAGTATAGTGGTAGTAGTAGTAGTAGTAGTAGTCGTCGTACTAGTAGTTAGTAGTAGTTAGTAGTAGTAGTAGTAGTAGTAGTAGTAGTAGTAGTAGTAGTAGTA